ACACGCTTCTCCTCCCTGCTGCTTAATGTACTGACGTGTTTGATGGTCCTGCTCCCTCCTCTGCTTGTGCTGCACCGTACCCTACCTTACTTCATTCTCCTCCTCCTACGATTTCTCCTTTCCTTTCTCAAAACTCGCTCTTTCCCTTTTCCTCTTTTCCTCTGGAATACAACGGATGGATTACTGCTGTATATCTTGCTCTCTATCTTCTCTTCTACCTGTGATTATGTCTCGCTTTCACTTTATGTTTGGTATATTCTGCTGTCTCCTCACTCCATCTACCCTTCTGCTTTGCATTCTTTTATATTCTATTTTCTCCATTCTCTCTGTCTTTCCCACCCACTCCCTCTTCTTCTCTCTTGAACCTCTGACTCTCTTTATGCCTCTTCTCTCTCCTCCCTTCTCCCTGCTTTCGGGCCCCTGCCTCCCCAGGCTGGGGCTCCTACCCCCCCAGACCTTTCTGCGAGACAGCAGTCCCCTCCTCCTGCTTCTCCCCTCTCGCACTCTAACCTCTGCTCTCTTCTATATTCTGCTCCCTCTGGCATGGCTGTAGTGTGAGGTAAGTTATCCGCCACTTCCTGATTGCAGCCCCCTCCCTCACCCCCCCTCCCAACCCGATTCTTCTCCCCAGTACACTGTGCACACTCGCACACTTTCACTGACACACCCAGCCCTCCTCCTCATCATCACCAGCCATCTTCATGCCCTCACTTGAACTCAAAGACAAGGAAGGTCAACTAGCAGGCCGGCCAGGTGGATGCTCACCATCAAAATGAACAAACACACAGATTAAAAGAGATACAATAATCACAAAAAGTGATGGTGTTTATTTTTATTTTACAATTTTAAAATGACATTCCATCCTTTAAAAGGATTCAACACATCTCCAGATGAAAAATAAACCCTTATAATGGCGTGGATTTTGAATGTTACAAAATCCCTCAAGGCATTTGTTATGTAGTATTGTACACATGTCAACAGTACTGTGTTTGTGTGTATATGTGTGATGTAATCCATCACTATACCTATATCTGTTTGTGTTGTTGCAAACTGTTTTAGTGTTTTTGACCCAGCTGCTAATGTATGAGCCAAAACACACGACTCAATGACTTTCTCCAAAAGAGTGCTGTTGTTGTAGGTCCAACATTCATCACACTCCAGCCCAAGCAGTCCTTTTGTTGCCATGCAGGGCATCATTCTTCATTCATATCAAGTCAAAGCCCATATAGCGGGAGAGTTTCATCTTACTAACCTCCATCCAGGATCGACATATATCCTTTTTCTTCACTCATGGCTGTCTGTCTGTCTGTCTGTGGACAACAACAACATGACTGAGCCAGGAGCTCCCTCTGCTAGCTGACCAGAGGCCTGTACTACGAAGCCGGATTTTCCTAACCTGGATATGTTGGAGTTAGCCGGTTGGCCCAATCCAAAACATACGCGCTCTCGCTAAGCTGTACTACGACGCTGGTTATCAAGTGGATCGCTCAAGCCAGCCGTGTCCTATCTAGTTAGGTGCGCGTTCACATGAAAGGGGTGGTATTTGGAGCATTCGACCAATCACAAACATGGACAAGCGTACTGACAGCGCAGCGTCATACTTCCTGAATGAAAAGTAAACTTTAATATTAGTCAAATATGAAGAAGTTCAACTTTAAACATCCATGACTTAAACACTTTATCCAGGATAAAAGCCACATAGCTGCACCTGCAAGGTGAATACAGCTGGTAAAAGAAAAAGCGTTTGAATGCGTACAAAATGTGTTGCTTAAAATAATACTTCTGCATACAGTATGTGACACTGTGAGTGTTGCACGGCCAGATACGGCTCAAGAAGCTGACTCAAATAAGGAAATATATGATACATTATGATGTGATGTGATATGAATGATAATGGGACACATCGACGTCTGCACTCACAGTGCCGCGGACTGTACTTAATGTTACTCTGATCCGGTTACTTATGTTGTGGCAGATATTTAAGTAAGCTTTCTTAACGCTAATGTTATAATAGTCCGATTGCTCTGAAGATGGGAGGGGATATTCTATTCATTTTCACGTTCACACAGTCAGTTGATTTTTGCCGGCCGTCTTTCCTGCAACGGCAGTTTTTCTATATTTCCGCACACGGAGCTCTGATTGGTCAGCAGGCGGTGCTTTCACTGAGTTGATCTCTTAGCCTGCAACCTAACCTCCTCCCGAGGAGGTTAGCCGCTCAGCATAAGTTACCATGGAGATCTAGCCCGCTAAAAAGAGAACCAGCGTTGTAGGACCGGAAAGCCCGAGTTTTCCCTGAAGTCAGCCGGCTAAGCGAAAATCCGGCTTCGTAGTACAGGACTCAAAAATCAATGCACACACACATTCTCTCAAAACACAAGCATCCTTCCAATTCACCTCCACAGCATCAACCATCTTACACACACACACCACCCAGTATCCTCCCCGACCCCCCCTGACCCCCCCGCTTCACAGAGGCCCCTGCCTGCCCTGGCTGCTCTGCTGGCTCACTGGCACCGCCCTGCTGGATGGAAGAGGCAATGAACAGGCTAAGCAAGAGCGATCTCCCGCAGCTTCTCGCTGTGTCTCTTAGTTTCCAAACCACCCCTCCTCTGCTCACAACCCTGCACTTTTATGGCCTTGCTTTACTTAATTGTTCTTTTCTCCCAGTGACGGCTGTTAACTCTGACCTCAAACACTCAGTGTCAGAGTTCCTCCTTAGCCTCTGTGGTAGTATGTTTTGTGTCCCATGTCTTGTCCTGTGATATTTGGTATTAGATACATGTAGTTCTACCACCATGTTCGCCATCTAGCCGCATCTCATATGTGCTAAACATAAACAAATCCAGTTGTGTAGAGTAGTGCCACCCATTCTCCGAGAACCATACAGGTGTTGAGTGTTTGAGGTTATGGCTAAAATTATTAAAAAATGCCAGCATGGACGCGAGTGAGTACGATAGCTGCATCAACCATTCGTGTGTTGCGTGCATGGATGAGAGTGTGTGCATGGGAATGTTTGGATTTAAATTGCCCTTTACGCGGTCACTAATGTTCACACCCCTCCTCTTCCCCCCCCTCTTTCACTGTTTTTGTATCCCTGCAGCACCCGTAAACAAAACTACATGATGAACTTTGCCAGACAGACCGGCGCGCGTCACTACTACAGCCGCAAGAGGCGGGCACTGCACCAGCGTGCCTGAACCCACCGAGACGGGACTCGCCCTCTGACCTGCCAATCACACATTGACCGCCCACGCCCATCCTTTTGCTCCTGACGACATCTCGTCCTGCCGAGTCCCACCTACCGGTGGATTCCAGTCAGCCTTTGACTTCCCTCACCCATCTCTCCCTACCTTCTGCCACAAACACAGGCCATTCAATCAGCTTACGCCAGCCAATCAAGGCCTTCCCAACCACACAGGTCGGCGGGAATGAAACTCGGAAGAAAGGAGTGAAGCGGCCATTTTGTTTACTTGTTTTCTTGGACAGTCGGGGTTTCTAGTTGTTTTTTAATTGTTGCTGTGGTTCCTTTGATTCCTGTTCCCACCTCGATTACCCTCCCTCTGGCTTACCTCCCCGTCACTCCCCCATCCCTCTCCTCCTCCCCGCTTTCCTACCACACTGTGAAATTGAGAGATAATATATCACTGCTGAACTGACCATCCGATTGGAGAGTTGCCTCCCAGTTCCACTGAGCTGTCCAACCAGTACGCCAGGAGAAAGACCACAACGATGATACTGACCATTAAAAAGGAATGATGCTGATGAAGAAGCTCAAAAAAAAAAAAAAAAAGTGTACTGTGTTCTTGCTGTTCTGTGTGTCTGTGGGTTCTTTTTGTGATGAGTTGACTGTGGTGTTCTGTTCATTTGTTTGTTCGTTTTCTACTAATTAATATGCTTTTAAGGGCGGGCGGGAGGGTGGTGCTGGGTTCAGTTTCCTTTTCCTCATTTATCTGAAACGGACGTGGACAGGGTGGGGAAAAAGCCCGGCCTCCACTGGAAGAAGGAACGAAAAAGAACGATTTGCACGACGGGAAAAAGGAGAAAATAAGAAAAAGAAAAGACTGAACATTGATTTTTGTTTGTTTTTTTTAAATCATTTTTTATATATGTTGATTCCGGAAAATACAGATATTTATGGTAAATGGTTCTTCACGTAACCTATTTAAGATGCACTGTGCGTGAAATCTGTATGTTATTTTCTAGTGTTAAGTTATTAGGCAGTCGATTCACGCTCTCAGACTGCATCATCTCCCCTCTTCTTTCTCTCCCCTCTTCTCATGTGCTGTTTCCCCCCTTCCCTCTCTCTTTCTCTCTCTATCTCTCTGCTGATTTCTGGTACCTGGAGGTGAGGCTCTATTAGTGTTGTTTTTTGAAGTCTGTGTAATATGGACCCTCTGCCCTCAGTGTAACTCCAGTATAGCAATCTTCTGTATATATATGTATATCCACTATGGGGAGACCCAGCAGCCTTATAAAAGGGAAATAAAGAACTGTCCAAACCTCAGCTGTACACGTTGTTTGAGCTGTTGTCTTTGTCTACTAAAAGATACACCTGCCATTTCTTCATACTTTTCTTATTGTCAACTAATCTCAATGAGTGAGTCAGTCACATAATACCTTCCAACTCCCTCTACTGTGGCCTATTCCCATCCTACCATAGATCTACATCATTTCACTGCATTAGTTGGCGACTATTTTCTGCCGCAAATTTAGTAAGTATTTTACAGCAGCGGGATGGTGTATGTGGGATCATCTCGAAATGAGCAACAGTTCCCATGTTCATAATAATGAAAGAACATCAGTAGAAAAGAGTGTCTTATAGTATTGCTTATAATAGTTTTGGAAAACAATGAAATGCTATAGAGCAGAGAGATATATATATTTGGTTTTTTTCCAGTGTGCATCAGAATATGGAAACACTTTGTTGACAATAGGACAATCAAAATATATCGCCATCCCATGTCTGGTGTGTGTGTGTTGTGTGAAAGAATGGAGTTTGAAAAGTTTACAAAAAAATATATCTATAATTTAATATTCAAATATTTATTTAAAGGACATTAAAACATTATGAAAACAGGTTTTGGTCACCATGATATTCAAAATAAAATGTTAAAATCTCTGGCATCACTATGGTGCACACCTCAGTGTCTTCTGGGCGTTCACCATACACAGCCTCTGCATTACTCCATGCTGAGGCTGCAGAAATGCCTCTGGGCACTGAACCACAAAAACATTCTCTCTCCTCCCCTCCCCCTTAAAATTACCCCATCACATAGCACATGAGGTGTCTTCACAAGATGCCGGCCATCACAGCTACAGTCAATAGTGTAAGTGTGATGACGAGGGGTTTGGCGAAGACCCCTGGGCAGGAGTTGCAGTACGGTGAATCGCAGCAGCCGTAGCTCATGGTGTAGAAGGTTCCTCTGATGCGGATCTTGTGCACCCGGCTGCAGCCTTTCTTTGCCATGCAGCCCCTGGCAGACAGGGCGCTGTAGTTTCCATATCGACCGTCTGCCTTAAAGCATATCTCATCAGGACGGCACTCTGACACGATGAGATCAAATTTATCCCCCTTCTCCAGGATGGGGCTGTAGTAGCAGCGCATGTTTGCACAGAGCAGCGAGGGCAGGAGCAGGTAGATCCACAGAGCAGCAGCCTGCAGGAGCTGGGACATGTTCCACCTGCAACGGTAAAGAGAGGCATTGAGTACTTTACTGACCTCATGACCTTGTATTCTATAGATTAAATAAATCATAAAACAATACATCTCTGCAGTTTGCACTTCCATAAAGTTACACATTTGTGAGAGCGGTTTATAATGCAGTATGCATCAAGTTCCAAATGCACTGAATCCTACATTTCACAAAATGCAATGTATTAAGTATTTTTTTCTTGTAAATTACTTTTTCATAGGCCACTTGCCTAGTTGGCACACTTTCTGTTAAATGTGTGGTTTCAGAGCCAAGACCAATCTGTAGAAATGATTATCTCACACTTGACAACATTTCTTCAGAGGCCCAACAGACACGAGACAATTGTTTTTGTACTACACTTGCCTCTGTAAAACTCCACTAGACTAATACGTAGACTTGTACCTAGTAATAGTAGTTTTAATCACTTGTTATCCTTCCATTTCTTGTCTCAAGCCAAGTTCAGAATAAACCAGTTGAAAAGTTAATTCAAGCCTTCCTTCTTATACACAGGTGTCGGTAATCTCTACTCAGCAGAATCTACTGATTGCCTGTTTTAAAGTGCTAAAGGCAGAAAGTGATGTCAAACGTTTTTTCAGTGTGCAAATTCAAATATAAAAAGCATTATGAAGACTTACATTTGTTAAGATTTTAAATTCCAGTCGAAAACCTCTCAGAGCTCCTCCTGGTGAACTCTTGTCTCACCACTGAGATCTGCATGCAGAGGCCACACCTCCCTGCACACCTGCTGGTAAAATCAACTCGAAGGAACTAAACCAAGTGGGAAGTTTAATCATGGTGCTTTTATTTTTGCTGAACTCATAAGTTACCACATCAATAGTGTTTATAAAGTACCAGGAGGATAGCTGTCCACCCTTTTCTCTCTGGAGTAAAAATGTACATGAAACACTGACAATGAAGCATTTTAACAGTAATTTAGCTAAAATACTGATAATCACAAACATCTGTTGAAATGCTAATGACTATTTGAAGGCTCAGGTAAGTGCCTATGGCTAACAGGCCTCTCCCCAGCCTTATACAAACACTTCTATAATGCATTGGTAGGTAACGTATTTGAAGATGTGTAATTTGCACATGAATCCCAACGCTCCTCTTTAAGAACACTAGTGATGTTAGGGTAATGTCGTTTGTCTGCTAGCATCCCCAGTAGCTTCTTCAGGTTGGTGTTAGAGTTTGGATGGCCGTTACATTTGTCTCTGCAGCAGCAGGTGTGGCTGACGTTGTACTTGACCCCTCGAAAAGAGGCCATCTCATGGGAGCCACAGAGTTCAGCGTCCACGCAGCCCTGAGCAGAGAGGACGTGGAGGGAGCCAAAGTGTCCTCTGGAGCTGGAGCAGCGCTGATCAGGCAGACACTGGCTGCTGATGTCAGGGCAGGACGTGCCTTTGTGCTGCAGAGGACAGAAGTTACACAGCAGGCTGTCCAGACTCAGAGAGGGGAGGAACAGAGCTGCAGCCATCAGGATGGAGGACAGGATCCAGCGTGGCCCCAACAGATCAGGGCTAATGTAACAAGGATACAGACAGGAAACATTCTTTCATTTAATAATTACATATTTCAGTTAGGAGTTTGGATTTTATGATGTACTTAAATGATTACCTGCTCTTTGTTTGTGATCCCATCTTCCTGTATGTAAAACCCTCCATAACATGTGAAGATGTCAAGAGTCAACCTGAGTCAACCTGAAGAACCTCCAAACAGCAGCACACACTCTGATTGCCAAGCAGAGACAGGTGTGTGTCTTTTAAGCATAACCCATCAACATTTATTTGAATTACACAAACAAAACAAAGCTTTTTTTGATTTGGTCTAAGCGTTTAGTTTATTGCTCAACAATAGCATCTTGCTTAATCCTTAAACACTTACATTCTCTAAAAGAAAACACACACAAAAAAAGGATCACAGTGGCAACCGCTGTCTGCAGCTCTGCAATGAACATGATCTTGAAAATAAATTATTCGATATGGTGCTAGTGGCTGATGAATGACATTCAGATGTTTTCAAAGTTCATGAAGCCGCCAGTCTGTATATGTAAATCATCTGACCAAATGGCCACATTTTTTTTTCTTTCTTGATTTCCAGTTCATAATCCATATTCAGGTGAAAAGGACAGCTTCCCCTTCTTGTATAAAGGTTCCTGAAAATAAGCAAACAAATACTGAATTAGTTTGAATTCTCAGTACCAGCCATGCATGGATATGATGTAAAATGTTGTAAATGGTTTGTAAAGTTTAAAGGTTTGCTCACAGTCAGCTCCTCGTCCTCCTCCCTGTCAGGGTCGTCCCACTGCTCCTCTGCGGGGTCGTAGGTGTACAGAGGAATCAGCCTATGACGTAGATCATCTAATCTGTATAAAAGTATACAAAATAAATGTTAGCACAACATAAAAGATACCAAATTGGTGATGCTTAAAACACAGAAACCCACTTACCTTGACTTTCTTCTGAAATAATAAACCTAAAGAGAAGCATAACAAAAAAAGGTTACAAATACTTATCATTCAGCCATGTGTGCTTTGATATGAAAATGTGTTCTTACCATTGCCACCGCACATCCAAACAGTATGAGCAGTATGGGGATGAGGGCATAGTAACCAGGAAATCCAGGTTTGGTGTTTTTGGTGGGTAAAATGTGGGGAGTTGTGTGGTTGAACTGCATCTCTTGCTTCTCTTCTCCATACAGTACACTCCTCTGTGCCGGTCACCTCAGCTGACACCTTAGTGACACATTCAGAGTGCCGTTCCTGTCATTCCCACTAAAATGCCATGTTGGGCTTTCTAAATCCTCATACATATTGCTATAGTCAAACTAAGAGATTTATAATCCAAAAATCGACTTTAACTGTTTCAAATGACCTGACTAGGAAGTTGATAGTACAAAGGATGCCTTCTATAACGTCCAAAACAATACTCAACTAAAAAAGGGGAGTCATTTAAACTTACCTTAAGTGTCAGAGTGCTCGAACGTACATGTCCTTCTGGCTTCTTTCATTTCCTTTCAAATAAGAAACACAGTGCTAACATACCTCAACCTGCTCAATGACATTCCTGAGAGAGGAGTGGATGTCATACAGTATGTTGGTTTCGTTGATCTGGATAGATGTGTTGATTACATAAAATATCTCCCTTTTATTAATATCACTATCACATTTAAGTTATGAATATGTAATTACTGCACACAGCAATATTTTTGGTTATTGCATAAAAAGGGTGAACATTCTAAAAAAGAAGAAATCTGGAAATGTATCTGGATTTTTTGTTTTGATTATCTCACTCTCAGTGTACTGTTCTCTTTCCTCCAGCAGAGGGACATTTGTTTTGGGCTGCAGGAGGGGTGAGGAGGGGAGGGACACTGGGAGGGGTGAGGAAAGCCAGATGAGAAACCATAATGTTGGAAAGGTCTAACTAGCTGAGCGTTGCTCCATACACACTTTCACTCCGGTCGATACACGATGAAAACAGGACACAGTTATCAGAGCTTTGATGGTAAGTTGGAAACATTGAATTAAATACTCTGCATTAAGATTGAGTTATATTTATTTGTAACTAATCTAGATGGTAAACGTGCTGTTAATATATGAGGGCTAGTCAATGTAAACAGTATATTGCTTTAATGAATACCATGACAGAATAGACAGTCAGGTAACTCATCTTATGATAATGGTGGTATTGAAGACTTTGTAAGCTATCATTTTACACAACTTTATCATAGTGGCGCGCGCCGGTGGATTTCCTTTTAAGATTTGAAAGCTTGTTAATTATTAGTCCATGGTGAACCATGCAGCTTAGACTCTAATCATAAAACGGGTTGTCATGACATGCCTACATTTATTCTCATACACTGCTGGTATTAATTCTGGTTTTAGTGCTCAGCTTGTGTACTTACAGTAAGTAAAAGCACAAACCAGATAGTTGGAATACTCTGTTACAATTAAATGTCCTGCATCCAAAAACTTGCTTAAGTAAAAGTACTAACATCAAGATATACTTACCAAAAGTAAAAGTACTCATTAATCAGATTGACCCATTTCAGGATAATATATATCTTGTGTTTTGCTCATAGTTATTGATGCATTAGAGCAGGGGTGTCAAACTCAATTTCATCACGGGCCACATTCGCATAATGGTTGCACTCAAAGGGCCGGTTGTAACTTTAAGACTATATAAAAATACATATTTAATATATATAAAATAATGTATTATATTACATCATTGCCTCTGCATTGGATTATTATCGGATAGGGTAATAACTTCATAATGTGTTATCAAAGCTGGTAAAGGTAGAGCTAATTGTAATGACTTTGTATGCTGCAGGGTAGTTTGTGAATTTTACTCCAGGTGTAACTAAAGTCTTATTGAAGTGTTGATTACATTTCATCCCACTACAGAATTGTAGTTGGGTAGAAGTACAACTCCCTCAAAATTATGCTTAAGTACAGTACTTTAGTAAATTCACTGAGTGACTTAACATCACTGTTAATCCCACAGAGTTCTGCAGTCTGCTGTGATATGAAGTGACGACGTGCTGAGAGTGTGAAACAGGAAGACTTGGACAATTTCCTTTAAAAATGTGATGGATCCTACTCAAAGGCGAAATGGACCAATCCAGAGACAGGATGCTTATGTCAGTGACCTGCCCATGCCTCTGATTGCTGATGACGATATTTACGAGTATGTTGAAGAAAATCTGTATGAGAGCACCTTGAATGGGCTCATCATACCCCCAACTGAATCCCAGCCCAAACCTCCATGCCCTCCCAGGGGGCAGGGGGCAGGAGGGCCGGGGGATACGGACCGCCCAAACACAAATGGACCCCCAGTCACTCGCCCTCTCCGTCCCCCTCCCCCTCCCCCTCCCCCCAGACCCAGGCTTCCTAGTGCATGTTTGCCTGTCAGACAAGTCCATGCACCACCCCCTCCTGTCCCCCAAAGGATAAACTTACCCCTCGGCAAAATCAAAAAGCAGAGCAGTGTTGAATACACTGCCCCCCCTCAAAAGCTGAATCGTTCCAGGACGGAAATAGACAATCATGTGAGTATGTCTCAAATACAAAATGTGTGATTGAATGAAATGACCCACATTTAAATTGAAAGGATCAAAGATGAGGCCTAAGTGTGCAATTTGTCTTTTTTTCACATCAGGATCCATGGGCCATCAAAGTAACGGACACCCCAGAGGGCAGCACCAAGACCCTGGCCTCTTTTAGTGCAGCAACTTCCAAGTGAGAGAGTGCATGACAAGTAGTTCCTACATTTTTACAGTAGTTTACTTTTTGGTATGTAAATGGAAAAAATATATAATACACGGTAATTGAATTTGAAAAGTTTTGTTTAAAATGACACACAGACACAAATAAATATACTTATGCTTGTATTTGTGTAATCTGAAATTGTAGTTGCTTAAAAAGATTGTCATGCTTTTAAAAATGTTTTCTATGCGACATATTCAAAGAAATATATAAATGTGATTCCTGCTTTTGTTCCTTGAACTCAACGTCATATCTGTACATTCAGTCCAGCTAATATGAGTCATATTCTTAAAGTACAGAACATATTTGTCTTCACACTTCAATTCATTCCTGTTTTTCTTTTTATAACCCTCTTTGGCAGACTGATGTCACGGTACAGGCACACAGACAGCGTTCATAACTCAGGGTTGGTCTGGAGTCGCGTGCTGCAGATCCACCCGGCGCTGCTGCAGCAGGTGGAGGTGACGGTCAGCGTGGCCACTGATTGGGGAACCCACCAGCTGCCCGTGCCCACCAAAGGTATTTTAAACAAACTTAGGAGAACGGTTACTAACAATACATCCAATAATAGTATTGACATCAGGACAGCAGAAAGCACACATCTTCCGGTGCAGACTGAGAACTCATCTCTTTCGGCTCCACTTCGAGCAATAAAATGACTAACAAAGCACTTATATACTAATAAAAGACAGGCTTATCTAAAGACAGTTGAGTAGCACTTGAAATGTTTTGGCTCTATGAAACCTGATGTACTTATATGATTCTGTTTTCTTCAAGTTTGTATCTTCTTGGTCGAATGCGCTTATTGTAAGTCGCTTTGGATAAAAGCGTCAGCTAAATGCAATGTAATGTAATGTAATGTAGTAGTTTGTACTCATAGAAAATTAAGAGATTTCCATTTTGTTTCCATTTAGAAGGCTTTCTTTCATTTGATGATAACACATGTAAATAATAGGGTCAATCATACAGTAGTACTGTACAATTAGGTTGTTTAAAGTTTTTCATCTTTGTTTGTATTGGTGGATTATTTAACTTAAATTAGTAGCAAAACTACAATGTAAAAGTACTCATAACCTACGAAATGTTCTTAAAGTATCAAAAGTAAAAGTATCCATGATGGAAAATGAGCTATTTCGGAATGGGTCCTGAAACACTTATTTTTAAGATCAGGAAATTGGAATAAAGGGGGCTGCCCTGTTCCTATTATTACAGGTGGACAACATATTTTCAGAACATTGCACAAATCGAACCTGAGCAGGTCTAATCAGCCACACAGTTAAAATCCACTGGTTGCAGGTCCTTTAATAAATAATAAAGAATCATATTTAAAAAATGTATCATATGGTTTGTATGTACAAATCTAAGTAATTAAAGGTGTCATATATATATAGTTGGGTCAAATTATAAAGAAGCAGAATACGGAAATACTCCAGGCTTTCTATTCACTACAGTATCCGTCAGTGCAGATGTTGGCAGGAGTGTGTGGACTCTGAACTCTGATCTTTTATCCAGTGAACAGGACAGTGAAGAGTCTGATTGATGAAATCTTCCAGCTGCTGGACCTCACTCCCAGCACCAATGGGCAGCATTATTTAAAACTGTGTGACTCCGATGAGTATCTCCACAAGTAAGTCCCCAATACAGAAATAAACATGTATGAGCTGTGAGCTTATAGTACAGGACTTTATCAAGTCTGGGAATGTGGGCCTACTCTTGTTTTGCCAAGTTCTTGAATGCCTGAGCCTATAGACACTTAACAAAAGACACAATATAACTGAGGCATAACTGCAGACTACACGAGATGTATAATGGTAAAGTCTGTCCTGGGAAATGTATTAGTTTCTGACTCAAAAAACACAATACATTTCCCCGAAACTACTGAATATGTGTACTGTATCTTTAACAAAATTACATACATTAATTCTATCTTGTTTCACTAACTAATGTACTATATTTTAGCTTTGGTTCACTGAGCCCACCTGGTGTAGCCCGCCTCCCACTTATAAAGCCTCTGCTATAGTCTATGATGTTTAATTAAAACCTTGTCTGTTTTCACATCCATTGTTTTAATTTGGTGATCTTGTCCTTAGTGAGGAACTGCTGGGTATGCACGAGTCTATTCAGATCTACTCCAAGCTTCAACTAGAAGTGCCCCTCCGACTGCTCCACGTGAACAACCTGAGGAACCGCCTGTGCAGGGATGTGAGTCAGTTCAAACCTACATTATAGATCATTTACCAGAAAAGGCTGGCCTGTCTTCATTCTTGAAATGCTGCCTTCATAAACACCTGTGCCTGGCAGCCGGCCAGCTCTTTATCATCAGGGCTATTGGAGCTCATAAAAACCTCCACCCTGAATTCTTGACTTTGTTCTGTTTACACATCACGTCATGGCTGCTGGCACTGAGCAACAAGAGAGAAATGGAGGAAAGGGGAACCTGATTTTCCTAAGATTCATAGTCATAACAATAACCTTTTCAGTGCCACATGCTTTATGTGAATAATGTGATATTATAGTAGTTCAAAAAACACAATCACTCCAAGCAGTCAGTATTTCCACCTGTTTTTTCTCACAGGAGGAGGACGACGCAGCCCCATGCCAGCTGTACGAGCTGCTACGCTCCGGCTGTGCCTTCAACACCTCCAAGTATGTTACATCCCACATCAACTTTGCAAAATGGATTCAATAACAATGACAACTATTCAGTGGGTCATGTGTCAACCAGTGTCTGTTTGCAGGAAACATAAGGAAAGGTAGCTTTGCTTCATGGTTTCCTACCTCTGTGTGTTTAACCCTTCCTTCTCTCTCAGGTTGAGCCTACAGAATGTGCTCATTAACTACAACAGAGAGGTGACAGAGCTATTGAGGCTAAAGGTAACCAGTGGGATATTTGTAGTACTTGATCATGATTATTTGTTTTTTTAACTGCATACTGTCACTACATGAGTAACCACCTCAAGATCATTCAGTTATATCAGTAGGACTGTGGAATCCTGATCTGACTTTCTGATATTACCTCTAACTTGGGTCTGATCTCATGGTTTCTGCAGTCTGGGATGAACGTTAATGTGCTTGTGGACCGCGTTCGCACCATTAGCAATCTGCTAGGCGGGCTCACGTGTCCGGAGCTGGAGGACGCCATTGGCGGGCTCAACAGAATCAATCCCATACCTCTGGTAGGATATCACACACATTTGTAAAACTGTTGTTGCTTTAAGCATTTATTTCCTTTTTATAGAATACTGTTTTGTTTGTATTGTACTGTGTTATAACAATTTACAATATCATGCCTCTGAAGTATTGTGATTGTGATTGGATAGAAAATACCTCCTAATGTCTCTGATCAACAACACAAAGCTGTGTTTCTTTATATGTTTTACAGAGTCATGATGAGATGTCTGAATGTGAAACTGGTGAGTAGCTGTTCATCAGCTATAATACTTTTTGTGGGTGTGTGTCTTTGTGTGTGAATGCTTACATGCTCACCTTGTGAGTCAGTGTGTGTGCACATATTTCAGTGACATTCATTGCAAATATGCAAGATGCAATAACTAATCTTGAAATATGTGTAGTGTAGATTAATATAAAATGGGAGTATAGTACGGAGACTTAATTAAAGTGTTACCTGTTTGGTATATTCACATGTGATTGTCCAAACTAATGTGTGCTTTCTGTGTTCCAGCTATGATCATGCTGCACCGGGCGCTGCTTAAAGTGCTGCAGATCTTTTTTGACAACTTCCATTCAGACTTCAGAGGTCAGGAGGTCACCAGAAACGTTCAAATGCTTGACGTTGAGAAGAACCAAGAAATCATCCAGTTTAATATCTCCGCTCTCTACAAACTGCAACCCGCCTGGTTGACCAAGTATGTTTACTTATAGCCACACACTTGCACACACACATTTTAACACCTGCAGGTAAACAAATACTGAAAAATATATGCTCACAGACACAAATGTTGACCACACCACTGACAACAAACAATGGGTTCATTACTTTTTCTTTCTTTTTTGTTATTTTTAGTTATGAGAGCTTCTCTGTTTCCTGTGAGTTGACGTACGGTGGAACAAAGATCTGTGACACAGGCATTTCAGACAATATCAGCACCGCTTTGTCTTACGGTCACAAGATCCACTGTGACCGCATGTAAGGACAAAATCTCCTGGAGTCTCTTACCAATAATGTCATGTCATCACATTCAACTTCCTCCTTCCTTGTTCACACAATACTAACATTGTCAGTCATGAATATGTGAAGTCGTGAAGCAGAATCTCACTGTCCCTTCTTTAAGGGACTATCTTTAATACATGTGACTTATAATAATACATTGTTTTAAAAAGAGCATGAAAAGAAATCACATCATTTTTTGACTGCATGTTTTTGATTCTAGGATGGTGTTTCCTGTTCCAGTAAATGAGCTGCCGTATGAGAGCATGATGACTTTTCGCCTTAAGGGCTCCAAGCGAGGCAAGACCCCCGAGCTGTTGGGCTGGGCTGTACTGCCTCTGTTCAGCAACAGGTAGGACGTCTACATCATTAACCCCATATCAAAATCAACAAAGTCATTGTATTCAGTTTGGAAATTGGTTAATAATTCATCAATCAAATTTGACTAAATGCTAAACCTGTTCAATGTATGATCAGCTTGCATGCTGAATGTATGCCAAATGTCTATATGTGATACCTATTGTGAGAAACAAGCTCAACTTGTAACTGTTAAGCCCCAAAGACCCCGTCGGCGGGTCTTTCTTTTTTTCAAAAAAAAAAAAAAAAAAAATAATTATTTTTAATTTTTTAATTTTTTATAAAACATTTTTAATTTTAATTTTTTTTCTTTGGATGGAATGAATACCTATGGTGATAATGCAATGTAATACACCATTTTTATAGTCTGGTACCTGAAAAAGGTCAAATGGCACTGATGGAACCAGATGTACCCAAATGTGCCGAAAGCTTATTCCGCCTGGAACTTTTTTTTGCTAAACCTCTCTAAAAATCTCAATCTTGATACAGGGTACTTATTATATGTTATAGTTTGGAATTCTAAAGCTTTTAGTCTACCATCCCATCATTCAAGGGTGGTTTTCACTATAAGTAATGTTTTTTCTTTAGGCGGAGGTAAGAATTTACCTTTTTTTGCTATGTTCCATCTGAATTTACTCTGACTGAGAACAATCTATATTGATTCTGACACTTCTACATCCAACTCACAGATGTAACCTTGCTTTGATAAAAGAAATTATTCATATAACCCTTTTATAAGTTAAGTTGTAGTCATTTGTTTTGGGCATGTCATTTTCGAGCCTGAAACCTGAAAAACAGGCTCGGGGCTTAACAGGTTAAGAAAGAGACAAACACCAACATTTCAGTCAAATAGTCAATAAATACAATTCCTTGTTTTTTCTTCTCTATTTATTTGTTCCCATATATTATAAACATACTTCTTTATAAAGAAGAGCATGGCACACGCCACCTTGGATATTTTGGATACTAAAAACTAAAGATAATATTGTGTTTCCTGCCTTAAGAATTGGCAGTCAATAAAAGCTTGTAGTGTTGTTGTTGTTGTTTCTCTGTTTGAGGGCTGATTTGTTCTTGCATATCAATACATTATACCCTTAATCTAAATGAACAGATAAGTAAAGGTTATTGCTTCCTCTTATATTTCATTTTGCTTCATGTGCATTTAATAAACTGTATTCCTGAGATGTAGGCACAACGCTATCATATAATTGACTATGTGTGACATGCAGTGTGTGTGCTCTGTGTCCAGGACCCTTGTAATGGGGACCGTTCTGCTCAGTATGTCCACACTGAGCGAGCTGCTCACACCCCCCTCCCCCGCCCTGTTTGACAGCCACAGACAAGCCAACGAGGTTATTCTGCAGGTTAGTAACACGGGACAACTCTGCCCCCTGTTGACCAACACATGACACATTACCCGTTTGATCATCCATCCTTCCATCTTTCCCCAGCTCGAGTTTCACGATCAGTTTGAGTGGACGTATCAGAGGCCCATCGCCCTCCCCGGGTCGATCCTTTTCACTCAGCCTTGTGAGGACTTGCAAAAGAAAATGCTGGAAGTCTCTAAGAAGCACTGCCTCTGCTTGTGAGTATAAGGAAACAACACACATTATATTATGAACTACTGTATGTATGTGCAGTTTCATATGTTTGTACATAAGTTAAGGGAGATTTCCATCCCCTTGTTTTCTCTTTCTGTCTGTATCCTTTAACATCTTTCTGAAATTGTCTCTCCTTACCCAGTCTAACAAAAAATGAGAAGGCTTTCCTCTGGAGTAAGCGTCACTGCAGTGACAAGGCAAGTACTTTCCTCCACCTGCTGCTGGGGGGGGCCCCCCGGTGGCACCCTGAAGACCTGACAGAGATCTATACTATTGTAGAGAACTGGCCCCTGCATCTACCTGAGGAGGCCCTCTACCTGCTCAGTGGCAGGTGGGTTTACAGGCAGAAACATTAACACAGTCAATATGAAAAGCTGTTAACTAAGACGTATGTTTATATCAAAATGTTTGTTATTCAATATTTATTTAATTCTAATATGGTGCAACTGTCACGAAACTTAAGTCTTTTGTTTGATTTTAATTGATTGATTAAAGACTTGAATTGGAATTCAGATATCTGCATCTTGTAAGGAAAGATCCAAAATACTAGAATTACAAATTGAACAATTTCCAATTTCATATATCAACCCTTACACCTCATAAATATGGGAAGAAAGAAAGAAAGAAGACTTTTAATTACGGATCTAAAGACAATCATAGGTTATACTCTTACAAAATCTGTTTTTTATTATTATTTTGTAATAATTATATTAAGAAATGTCCTTCAAAGAATTAAGATGGCTAAGAGCAAAGGGTAAAAATAGATGATCTGTTTTGCAAGCAGGTAGAGCATATCTACAGGAAAAAACTCTGCACTGCAACACATTGTGATGCACATTGTGATTTCCTCAAAGATAACTCAGATCCCACCTGAGTTCCCCCCAGGCTGTTTCTGTCCTTCACTGACAGGCTGTGGAACAGAAAAAGTTAATACAAAAAAAGTTTGAAAGACTCTCGATACTGGCTTGCTACAAAAAAAAGAAATCTGAAGGACAAAACTGACGAACCAGGAGTTTATTTTTGGTGAAGTTGCACTCTTTTCTGGTCACACTCGGCTGTCATCTTTACGTTTATATACCACAATAGCATCAAACACAGTAGTTATTTTAAGAACTTACAGCACTCATATCCTGTTCTGTTCTCTACGATCTTTAATTACTGTTGTTTGTCTCAATATATCTTTTCAGTTTTTATGATCAGACTGTGCGGAGGGCAGCAGTTCATTACTTTGAACAGATACCAGATGGAGAGCTAGAGGAGTTTCTGCCACAGTTGGTCCAGGTAACACCAGCACACACCCATAACTACTACTGTACACACAGAGTGACACAGTACAATTTAGCATGCTTTACATTCATCTCCTTACTTACCAGCCGTTTTTAAATATGAGAAAAAGTGGCACACGGCATAGCTGCCTCAGTGTTTGAAGTTAGTCTGATCAGTCCTCCTGTCCTGCAGGCTCTGAAGAGTGAGTGGGAGTTAGATGGACCCCTGGTCATGCTGCTGTTGGAGAGATCACTGAAGAACATGCGGATTGCCCAGCAACTCTACTGGTGAGTCAGACATCAAACCGAGAGACTGTAGACTTGGATTATTACTTAAACTGCCCTTTCATAATGGAAATTAAAAATCTGGTTTTGCAAATAAAGTTTGGTATTTTTGAGGATCACCAGTAATGCTGTAAAAGGGGGTGAACATGAGGTAAAACTGCTTTATGCAAAATGCATGAATATCTTTGATTTTGCTGAATGTTTTGATGCACAATTCAAGATTCAAAGCCTTTATTGTCACACTAGCTACAGTGTAGATATGGCACTGAAAAACTTAAGTCCCAAGCTCCTCCAACAAGGCAACAAAATAAGTATATAGGACATAAAACAAGAGAAGAAACAAAGTAGAATAGATTAGAATAAAATAGTGCAGAATATGTTGAAAGACCAATGTGTAAGTAATGCAGATTAACTAAACTATATACATGTCAGAACAATAAATAATACAATAAGCTACATAATGCAGAAAATGTTGAGTGACACTGAAGTCAACATGCCGTTGTGTACTTGGGCAAGACACTTCACCTTAAATAGCTACTGTGGGGATTTGCCACAGTATTATATGTGATATGTAATGTGAGCTAAAGTATTATTGTTATTATGAATATCTTCCACTGCTGTATGTTCAGTCCAGTGCTGTAAAGTTATTAACATTTTACGTGCTGGCAGGCTGCTGGAGGATGCCCACACTGACCCGTTCTTCCAGAGCTGGTTCAGTAAGGTGCAGGCGGCGCTGCGGCAGGGCTGCGGCCGCGCTGTGAGGCAGGAGCTGGAGCAGGAGACCCGCCTGGTGTCTGTTCTGGTGCAGGTCGCTGAGAGGGTCCGCACGGCCGATAAGGCTCGACGGAAGGTGTGTTAACAGATTTATCATCTACACATTTATCAATAACTCACTCGGTGCCTTGTAAGCCTCCACTGTTATTACTAACTCCAAGAGTCCTGCTTATTATTTATTAAGCTGTTACATGTGATGCTTTTCTTTGCAGTATGTTTTAAACCACGAGAAGGCAAAGATGAATGACTTCTTCAAAGATGGAATCAGCTGTTGTCTGCCACTGGATCCTGCAGTCCGTTTAAAGGGCTTGAACGTGGATGTAAGGATGTTACACAGATATTATCTAATATGCACCCAGCTGTGAACCATACCGCAATGTTTACTTCTCCCATATGTTATTTATAGGCCTGTACGTTCTTCAACTCCAATGCTGCTCCTCTGGGGATCTCCTTCATCTGCTCTGACCCTCTGGCTAAGAACATCAGTGTCATCTGCAAGGTTGGTAATATTAAGCTGCTCTATAGATCCTCACTAATGCAAGAATACTTTAATATTCATATCCGGAATTTCTCCTATTTTCTTCTTTGAAGTTTGCTTGTACACATTTCCCCTAGTCAGATTACAGAACTGGACAAACTAAAAGTGTGTTCAGCTTCATCATAAGCTTAATAAACTCCCAGAAAGTTGCCATATAAAGCTATTCTCCGTTTGTACAGTAGGAAGGGTTCATTACCAATTAGAGACCTTTCAGTTTCAGTAGTCACGTTAGAGGAGCACTTTGTTATGTAGCATTTTTTTTTTTAAGCAATACAAAATATGAAATGTCCGGCTGCCACCATCATGTTATAAGAGCAGAGGGATACAGTGACAGAAAGAGGGAATGGTTTGAGAGGAAGTTAGAGGACAACATATAAAGCACCTTGTATAAACAGGACTCTTGTGACATGACACCTAGGCTGTGTTGCTGAGTAAACAGTTTCCTTCTTTCTGTTAATGTGTTGTTCAGACAGGAGATAACCTGCGTCAGGACATGCTGGTGCTCCAGATCGTCCGTGTGATGGACAGAGTTTGGCTGGAGGAGGGTCTGGACCTGAGAATGATCACATACAGGTGTCTTTCTACTGGCAGAGCTCAGGGTCAGTTTTTCAATGCATGTCCATGATATTTCCCTTGTCTTCAATCTCTTAGTCTGTCAATTCATGTTCACTAATACTCGTTGTCAGGCCTGGTGGAACTGGTTCCAAACACAGTGACCCTCGGGAAGATTCAGCAGGAGTTTGGTCTGGGGGGCACCCTTCGAGAAGACACTCTGGAGAAATGGTTCCACGTGTGGAACAAAACTAAAGAAGGCTATGAAAAGGTCAAGACTACTCCAAAATGATTTTGTCATTATGATTAGGCGCACATTTGAATATTTATGTTTCCTTTAATACATGTTTTGTAACTTGTGTAACACCCTCCCGCTGTGCATGTGCAGGCTGTGTTAAACTTCATCCACTCGTGTGCAGGGTGGTGTGTGGCCACCTTCATCCTGGGGATCTGTGACCGCCACAATGACAACATCATGTTGAGACACAGTGGACACATGTTTCACATCGACTTTGGAAAGATAATGGGCAACGCACAGAAGTTTGCGAACGTTAAAAGGCAAGTCAATAAAGAAGCAGCATTCTGAAAGAGAAAAGACTGTTTGAGCAGCAATGGGAGACAGAAAAGTATGGAATCATAGAAAATATCTCTTTTGCAATGATAGGGACCGATCACCATTCATCTTCACATCTGAGATGCAGCACTTCATCACAGGCGGGGGGCTGAAGCCTCAGCGCTTGCATCGCTTTGTGGAGCTCTGCTGTGAAGCCTACAACATAATCAGAAAACGCTCGGCACTCATACTCAGCTTGTTGGAGCTGGTAAGACCTTTCATCATCACAGTAACAACCTCCAAGCCATATCTGAGAACAAATAACACAACATAAAACACCTTCTCAATCATGGTGTGTTTTTAAGATGCTAACTGCAGGAATGCCAGAACTGAAGGACTGGAACGACCTGCAGTATGTCCAGAACAACCTCAGACCTCATGACACGGACCTGGAGGCCACATCCTACTTCACAAAGTAATTTAATGCAGCACAAGCAAACATCCGGCCTCTCTCTTACTTACATCTGCCACTGTATTCATCTGATTCTTTTAGTAATGGTTTGTATCTATCCTGATGTAGGAAGATCAAGGAAAGCATGGGCTGTGTTGCAGTCAAGTTCAACTTTTTCACACACACCATGGCTCAAGGGAAGAAACAAGTGCTAAGGACCCGGCACAGCGTCCCCGCTCCCAGCACCAACATCCAAGAAGCTGTCATCGAGGGTTACAGAGTCAAGGGAAGAGATGTGGTGAGGCTGCATGTTTCTCTTTGTGCTGTGGTTATTCAGACCAAAATGCTGGGCATTTTCATAACGAAATGCCCAGGAGAAGTTGAGCCTATTGCACCACAAACCAGGGGAGCTGATGAAACACCTGGAACACACTGCAGGTTCACATATATTTGTTTAAAGAGGACAACCCCTGGCACTCATCTGACTGTGTGTGTTTGTGTTGGGACAACAGTGCTGTGTTTGAAAAGTATTTATCTTACTTCCCAGAGTCAGGTAATGAGTGTTACTGATGTGTGTTGGCATTTTATTGCACTTTGATCATATTGCGCTTGCTGATGTCAGGTTGAACTGTTTGGTGGCAGAGATGGAGCAACTTGTCAGTTAATCAGAGTCACAGGTATCATGCACTCAGGTTTCTACTTGCTGGTATAACTAATGGTTTCCCAGTTGATCATGCCTAATTTGAACTGCTTGGAAGTGTTACTGCTTGTTTTTTTACCAGAGTATACGCATACACATAAATTATTTCCCACAATATGTTTAAGTTCGACTCCAGCAAGTACATTTTAGAAATCCAACATAAAACATAGTTACTTCTTTCAAGAGGACATATTCTGCCCGGTCTGCTCTGATTGGTTAGCTGGCCGTCTCTGTTGTGACCCTTTTAATAGTAGCACCCCTTGAGACTTGAGGGTAGTTTTCAAAATTGGTATATTTTTTCAAGTCCAAAAACACATTTTTAAATATATCTGGGTCATCAGGCTGTTCACTTGTATGTATCTCATATTCTTAGCTATAGAACAACTGATAATAAAATCAAGTGTAATAATGGAGTGCTTCTTACGGGTCGTTGATGGGAACATTTCCCTCAAGCTACCTTTTCAAAGAGATTTTGAGCTTGTTTTGTTTAATTTGCAGGTCTATGAGCTGAGAGTAAACATTCATGATGGTTATCTGAACAGTAACATGACATTTGGCCAGTTTGAGGTCATCCATAAGCAGCTACAGAAACACTTCATTGAATCCATGCTGCCTCAGTGAGTAAAGAAAGAAAATACACATTGAGGTCTCATGGCTATTCATTTTAAAGCACTGTTTTTTTTCTTCCTCAGTTTTTTGATGCATGTGTTCGTCCTTACAGGTTTCCTAGATGGTTTAATACGTCATTCACCCCGGCAAGGAGGATGTCGCAGCTGAATAAATACCTGAAGCAGCTTTTTGAGGGACCCTGCAGGGGGGTAAGTTCCTCTCCTCACTGGTTGATAATGTGATCTCTTGTTATAACTGGCTCTAACTTGCAAACCTGCCTCGCTCTGTTACTTGCAGAATGAATTTGTGTGCAGCTTGTTCCTGGATGGCCCCAACCCAAACCAACAAAGTGCAGTTACAGGTATGAGGATCGATTGTTATGCTATATGTTGAGGATATACAGTAAATGACATGGTATGCTGTAACTCACTGGCACTGATGGACTGATCTATTGCAGGAGCCCATCCTCAGATCCAGCTGAAGATCTCTTACTCTAAGAACTGTAAGCTCTCGGTCTTGGTTAAACACCTGAAGAACGTTGTGAGTTTCCTTTACTTTTGGTAGTGCATTGTTTGTATCATTTGACAAGAGGGGAAAATATATGGTAAATGTTTTTTCTCTTGTAAATACATTACGGTGTGTGCTCAAGTGAAGGCCCTCCCTTTTCTGTTTTCAACAGAAGCTGGCAAACGGCTCCAACCCTGACGCCTACGTGGTTACATGTCTGAGACCGGACCCTCAGCAGAGCAGCACGAAGAAGACAAAGGTGGTCCGCAATAACGACAATCCCACCTTCAATGAACTGGTACACAACAGCTTCCATCCTCTCTCTCTATCCATGATATCCCAACTATCCTTTGATTTAAAAGATGTAATCCTTTTATTATTATTGTTTTTAAATCAGCCTGTATTGTCTAATACTTAACCCTATATCATTCTCAGACATAAACTGATACTTGTGTTTTGCTTTTAGCAAGTTTTCAAACTGTGCACAACACCCTCTATCCTTAGACCTTTCATAGGGCTTAAATACAAACTTGCTAAAGAACATCCTGTCCCTATTGAGAGGAAGTGCTTTTACTCAGTGTTTTAAAATGGACAATTCAACAAAGTTAGAGTGAATGTGTTAATGTGTTAATGTGTTGTGTGTTAAACTCTGTGGACTCTGACCAGGAGCTTTTCACACACTTTCAAAAATATTAAAATAAATGTTATCCTCAAATTAGTGCTTTTTGTGAATAGAGTTGTCTATTAACTAAATATCTACCTCTTATTCACAGATAGAGTACCATGATGTCCCACTGCTGGATGGGATGGTGCTGGAAGTGACAGTGAAGAGCAAGAAGACTTTTGTGGGTGCATCCAACATCAAACTGGAGGAGAAGTTGCTTGACCAGGAGACTTGGTTTCCCCTGGGGAACTGTGCAATCTGACCTCAGAGCTGCACTCACTGTGTGTCCGCGTCCAGCAGGGGGCGCCACCACACTGGATCCACCCACAGATTTCTCAGACTATATGAATGAGCAGAGGAATTAAGCACTCATGTGTACAGATGTATCAGATGCAACTTAACCTCACTGGTGAAGTGGATGGGGTGTTTTAATGACGTTACAAAACTGAGTGACTCAGGGAAGGAGACCGTTTACTACTACTCCATTTTTCGGATGTGGCCTCGGTGACAGATGAAGGGAAGGAACTATTTTTATTATTCTACTTGCATGCACTTTTACTTCAAACTGTAAAACCGTCCTTGTACGTGTGTTTGGTCGTGACTGTCACGACCAATCTTCCCTGCCAGATGAAAGATGAGGTGCTGTTAGCGGCTGCCTGTGTGATACCTGCTCAGACTGAGTGTGTGTCCCTTTGGGCTGTGTCAACTGGATGTCCTTGACCAGGGGAATCGGAGGCAGGAGGGTGAGGGGGCAGGGAGATGGGTGAGGAAAGTGTGAGCAGGATGACAACAACTCTGCGTATCCGGCCTGAGGGGCTGAGTTAACACTCCCCACATCACTCAATTATTTGTCTTTCCATGAGTGGCATTCAAACATAATTATGCAAATGAATAACCTTGCATGCCCACTCAAATACTCTTGGAGAAGCACCTCCGCACACACACACACACACACACACACACACACACACACACACACACACACACACACACACACTCACACTCTCTTTCCAGGCTTTAGCAGGTCTTCATGTTATCGTAATGCCATCCTCCTTTTGACAGACGTACTGACCCGCACTCCTTTGCCTCATTCATACGGTTTAGCGATGAACAAGGATAGAAAAAAGGCCTCCGCACTGGATTTGGTTCAATAATGTATACCTCTGTGAATGCTATTTATATTATTTCCTGCTTGGACTCTCACGGGGGAGTAAGCTTGAAAGAAAACTCTGCCTGCTACTCTTTCATGGTAGTGCTCATAAACTATTGATGTATCCTGGCATCACTTATCAATTTCAGACCTAATGGAGGAATAACATCTATTGTTTTGGAATAGATGATTAATCCCCCAAACAACTCTGTGCTTCGTGGTTTCTTCTTATGTGTGATCAATCTACCACAATAATTGCACTTGCATCCATTATTAATTATATGATGATAAGAATCTAATATCCCACTCCAGGGATTTCTTCAATACTTGAGTGGTGCCAGCAGAGATATATCCTTCGTTAGAGTGTCTTGTATGCACTGCTGAAACCTTCTGCTTCCTTTCTCTGCAGCACAGAAGGCACGTCTATTTTCTGATAATAAAACTGGTATTTATATCTGAGAAAATGTTGCTTTCGATTTATTTATATATTTGTTGTTGTTGTTGCTGCATCAGCCACGCTTCTTCTCTATCTGTTGGAGGGTGTGTGTGTTTGATATGGAGAGCTTCTTTTAGGAATACCAAACAAAGAGGAAGAGGGAGGCTGGATCCATGCTGCATCCGTCTCGGGACCGCAGAGGCACCCATCGGTAGCCTGGAGGTGGAGGAGGAAGGTGGGGGGGCGAGAAAACAAGCGTATGTATAGCACCTGAATACACCAGCATGATACAAAAACACCGAAACATTTCCATTTAAACCCAACCGACCTTCAGGAATGCTGACAGTGAGTGAGAGGAAATACAATGATGGTCACACAATGTCACCTGATGTAATTTAGCCCTTTGTCTGACTCCCAACCGCCCACCCCTGTCTCTGTGGCTCACCTTTCTTCAGGCTGGTGAAGGGCAGCGTGTATTGTCCTACAAACTCACTGCTGAGGAGGCCGGTCTGCTCTCGGACACAGAAGCGGAGGAGGCAGAGCTCCGGGACGCTGATGCTGAAGTTCATGTCAGAATTCCAGTAAGGACTCAGCGCTGTGAGGGTAATGAGAAGGAACCAGTTTGTTAGAATCAATAAGCATAATTGGGTTTAGTTAAAACCACTCAAATCAATAATGGGTTAAATGACCATCTGTATTGTCAAAGGTCTCACTCGTAGTCATGAACCAACAGAGAATTATTACACAACCCTTATGCATTTTTTAACTGATTGTTTTGGATTTACGGCCCCAAGTTTTACTGCCATGGTTCACTGGGCCAGGAAGTTCTTTTTAGTGAAACTATTTTAAAAATCAAGTGTACATTAAAAGGCCATAATTAGACATCCTAGAGACAAGTAAGCAATTCATGTAGCTGATGAACATAGTAAGTAGCAGCTGAACGACAAGATATCTTTCTCAGGAGCTGGTGGTCAAATTTAGAGCAAATATTCATCTCATATTCAAATGAACGCTAACCCACAGGCACGTGCACACATAGACATCAAAGTGGGCTTGAACCCCTGCCCTTTTTCTTCCTCCGGAGAAAGTGCCCTTTTTATGGGGTGCTTTTCTTTTCTTTCTTTTTTTTTATAATAAATTAATATATATCTACTGCTGTTTGCGCAGTTTCCCTTTCCAAAAATATATTGATTGAATACAAAATAAAAATATCAGGTCGGGAGATTAGACTGTGAAGTTCCGATGCTCTCTACCCTCCCTCCACGTCTCCTGCACAGCGGCGCGGACAGTCATCGGCAGTCACTTCAGACAGACAGGTAGCAGCACCTCCCACCTTAAGTCCCAGGTTATGCCGGCTTTTCTTGGCTTATTTGAAGGTGAGTGGAGATGAACAAATGACTAAGCATGCCAGTGCCTCGAGTTTACAGCTAATTAGCCAAAAGACAAAAACAAATATAGTTAACTAGGGTACTAATGGCTAAGTTAGCTCAAGGTTTAGCTAAGGCAATTTATCATGGGCATACAGGCTAATGTACTGTACTTAAGGGGAGACACTACATGTGAATACAGTAAAATGTGTATCTAATAACGTCATCACAATCGCCACATTGATATGCAAATTAGGCGTTAACTAGGCCTAATTAAAATGCGCTAATTTGCATGCAGTTACCAAGGCATTGCAGGTGAAAAGGATACATCAAAAAACAAACAAAAAAACATATCACCTCACAACTTCCCCAGATAGTTACTTACGTCAAGTCAGTATTTTCCCTGGAAATGTTATGTTTAAATGTAGATTAGCTTTAAATCTATAGATGAATTCAGACATAACGATCTTTTTGCCTGTAATGTCCTTAAACAGTAACTTCATAATTTTGATTGTTGGCTGCTCATTTAATAACTATTCATTTTACTAGTTTGTTGTCTGCTCTTGTGCTTAGTGAATACTAAAGAAAACCATTGTCTCTGTGTTAACTGATTATTTTGTAGAATTCTGTTGAGTGTGAGGGTATTAAAATAAATTGGTCAGTAAGTCAGAGATATGCAACTATATTTAACTTTTTGTTTTAAAACGTTTTTTTATAAATTATTATGGGAAGTGCCCTTTTTCTCACTTGAGCTCCTGCCCCCAAAAATGTCTGTGCACGTCCCTGCTAACCCATGTTTTACCACCTTATAGGGTGATTATGGTAGTAGCATGTCAGTGTTGTGTTTGTAGCTTTTAACTGTAGGTAAGAAAAGACACTATTATAAAGAAGTTGCATCAAAAAAAATTGTTTTGAGAAGGTGATATTTAAAATAATACATTCTTTAGTTTCAAGTACAGAAAGTGTTATATTCCACAAAGTAAGAGTAAGAATCCGAGTCAGAGGGGTTTGGTGTGAAATATTGTCTTAGCTTATTGTTAAACTATACCAACAGTTATGCTAGCAATTATGTTAGTCTGCACTTGGTGCTTATTGACCTTATACTTATATGTTTACCAGGTATTATATTTAACATATTCACCATATTAGTCTAGCATTTAAGCATGCTAACTTTTGCTAATTAGTACCAAACACAAAGTACATACTGATGGTTATGATATTAGTTGTATCTGGTATTTAAATTCATAGTCAGACATGCTTGGTAAGGGAGAAAAAGTAAATCTATGAAGTTATTAAAAATTCATCCTGCAGGGGACTGAACGTCTGCAAATCATTCCGGACTAGTGTGGAGCTGACCGACAAATGACTTTGGTATCTGGAGAGTAAATAAATGATTATCAGACCCACAACAGAAAACCTATTATAATAATATTATATTTTGTTGCAATTTTACAATGACAGATGAGTAGAGCACACGTAGACAACTGATGAGTCATCTCTGCTGCAGTTCTCAATCTTTTTCTTATTCAAAACTATTTTCCCGAGTTCCTCTGTTACATTCAAATTTGTATCCAAACCCACATTCATTTATTTCCAACAGTGACCTTATCTGTTACATAGTTTTAAATGATTTTATGATTTTTGCCCATGAATAAATGCTCTGCGCCCTCTAGGACTTTTACTATCTCACCCTCTCCCTCTCTCCACCTCCCTCCCTCCCTCAACAATACACTGTTGTATCTCATCAATTTCCTCTTGATTCATTTTTATGGTGCCAGTTTCAAAAACACAAGCTCAGAGCAAAATGCAACATACTGTATTTTCTATAGTGAGTATCATTTGAAATGTTAGTCATCTGTCAAAAACTAGGACACCTGTAGGATAAACCTCCAAAATGGATAAGTCTGGTGACAGTTTTGTGGACTAAATTGTGGAGCCAAACAGTCAATTTCACATTTGTCACCATTAAAAAAGAGTGAATAGTCATTTTGAAGTTGGTGTTATGGTTATAAAATCACTTCCTCCTGTGTGCAGTGACTGTCCGCTCCATGTTTCCAGTCATAGCCATAGTGCATGACAGACTTCTCTTCAAAGGAAATCCACTTCTACATTTTTGAAAAACTCATCAGCACACTTCTCCTCAGAAGCCTCTGCAGCTTACTGGAAAATAGATTTAAAAGGAAATAAAAATGCTGTCATAGAAAACTAACAAAAATCCAGATATGGTGATTTCCATGTGTTTCCTTGAAGGATTAGACACATTGCCCTACAGTATGCTGATACCCATCATGTTCTCACAAAACACTTTGTTTTATGACCAAATACCTCCAAAACGAATGTCATTTCAAATAGCCTCTGCTGCAGTATGTATTTATTGCTAATTAGCATTAGTTATAATTTGCTAAGCCAACATGGTAAACATATCTGCTCAACATCAGCATGTTGTCCTTGTTAGCTTGTAATCATGCCAATTTTTCAATTAGCCTAAAGCACTGCTGTGCCTATTGCAGCCTCCCATTTCTGCTAGTATGACTTTAGACTGTCTTTTGTTTTGTCTGGTGTTTCTATTCCCAATCTTCCATTATTAATGCAATTTCAAAATTCAGAATAACTCGAATTACGGCCCACAAACCCAAAAAACTAATTCTAGCTTCTGAAAACATAATTAATGATAAAAAAATGAAGGGAAAAATATAAAAAAGTTACAAAATTAAGGTGGACCAATCAAGATATATCTTGATCTCCCAACAAGGTCACATACAGTTGGTGTTTCAGTACTTACAGTTGTTTTTGACAGTGTGTGTGTGTTTTCTGTTCGAGTCAGATGAGATCCCATAAACCTCCACTGTGACGAAGGAGTCCAGAGCTTTTCCACTCCTGGAGATGGGTAAGTTGGACCCGCTGAACACCTGTGGATAAACACATACATGCAGTGCTGGTGGTCACACAGGGCATGTTTGAGAATGTCATTGTTATCAGGAATAAAAACAGTACATGATACAAAAAATAAGAAAACAGGAGTGCCAGTTAGAGTGGAAAAAAGAAGAGAGGGGAGAGGGCTGTAATTACACAAGTCTGGAGAGAGGCTGGCTTATCTGCAGTCCTCTCACACTGAGCCTTCCCTTCCCCAGCTCTGATCAAAGACAACCTGCATGTACTTATCACGACATGCCCGGCTTGCCACTGATGGAGCTTTACAGTGTCCGGACCAAAATTACAGTCCCATTCCTCTCTACAAAGAGCATGCATTTTGCTCATCAACAGTTACAACGGTAAAGAACAGTTTGCAGTTATAATTCATAAATGACTTGCAATTTGTATTGAAAAGCTGTCCATTGTTTGTAGTTGACAGTGTTATGCTAAACAGGCTCATGAGAGCTCAAGGGAAAAATATTGTTTTCCTGAGCAGATGAATAATTTACCGTTTCAAGATTGAAAACTCAACACTCTATGTTATACCACTGACTGCTCCTCGTGACTCTGATTTCGGCTGAGTTCAGAGCTGAGTCAAGATTGCAGGATTTTCCCTGAAGTGATCAAATAATGCAGAATGATGAGGTGAATAAATATAGGTAGGGTTTATCCCAGGGTACCAAAAAAAAGGGAGCGCATCACATTTATATTTCATGCACTTTGCTCTGAAGGTGAATAGTGTG